AGTTCCACTTGAGCAGTTTCTTCCCGCGAACCAGTGCTCTGTAGAACAAACTCCCAAGAGGATGTTTACTTGATTACTACAATCTTAACCTTTTCAATCAAGTCAAGGGTTAACTCCCACTCCTATCCGTATAAACTGTACTGGTGCCGTCAAAATTGACGGCAAGCAGGAATGTATTATAAGTAATATGTATTATATTGTAATTAATTTTCGTATAATCCAAGTGCAATTTTTTTCCGTGTAATAATTGAAGGGAAGTGTGCAAAATAATCATGACACACCTGCCCAAATTCAAGTTATATTTGTTTTTCGAAAGAAAAAAAGAACTTTAGTTAAATAAAAAATATTAGAGGCAGACATGATTTACGGGCAATATTAGTCATGTTGAATATTTGTTTTACGAATTTAAATGTATTTTATTTCTTTTTTAGGGCCAGTTGGGAAGAAATAAATAAATATAATTTATGTATGTAAGAAACAATGAAATGTTGTTATATGTTTCTTTTTTACTTAAAAAAATTAAATTTGGATATGTGTGTCATCGTTTGTGTAAAAGAGTCAGTACGTGTGTGCGTGCTTTTTCGTTGTAACGGGGGATACAAGAGATAGTTAGAATTTAGTTCTTACTGTGAACTGTGTCACCATTGTTTGGGGAGGTCTCTTTGTGGTTTTCAGTGCGGTATCTTTTTGCGTGTGGACGTGAATGGGGGTCTTGACTTCTGTGCGTCTCATGTCAAAATTTTGCAAACTACCCCTCAATTGTTACATACAAAAAAAAATTTAGATACATACATATATATACTATTTACATTATTCGGACTATTGTCCGCACTTTTGTTACCATATTTATCACAATGTTTCGGCCGATGTACGCTCCGGCCTTCTTCAGGTGGTTTGAATGTCGAACTGAACCCTTTATTTCGCTCACTGAGGTAGACTGTTCTAGTTCCACGTGCCATGTCTAATTGATGTCAGTTATCAGATATCTCCTGTTAATTCCCTTCTCCAAGTTCTCCACCGCCTTAACCAGGTATTGAACTCACACTCTTTGCGTCCTCAAGAACAGGTGGCACAGTGGATACAGGCGTTAATTAGATCCAGTGACAGGACCCATAATGTAAAAGTGTAATAATGTTTCATTTCAGAAATTATATATATATATATATATATATATATATATAGGTCAAATATTGTATATATTTATTAAGTTTTTTTACTCGATCAAATTTTTTTTTTAGGCTTTGTTGTATCTGTGTGATTTTTTTTTTCCGAATTTCATATTTCTAGCTACATTTTTTATCTTAAGAAAATATTTCTCATTGATTTGATTCAAAAATATTGAAAAATTTATATATATATATATATATATATATATATATATATATATATATATATATATATATATATATATATATATATATAGTTTATAAAAACTTAGGTAATCCGTATGGGTAGACCTTTAGAGGATGATATCCAGAGAGCTCAATGTAAAATTTCAGAGCAATATGTTTGAATAAAAGACAGACCACGTTAAATAGATTCCATGTAATAAGCTATTTCAATGTAATAAATATAGTTCTCCATTATTTTTTCTCCTAAATCTGATGATTGTCAGAACCCTGTAAAGGGATAAATTTTATTTTTTTAAAAAAAAATATATAAAATATATATATATAATATATATATATATTATATATATTGTCAAATATAATTGGCTATTTTGAATTCAATAACCAACAATTACTATTCTTAAAAGAGTATTATAGAGCAGATATATTATTTTTTTTTATAAAATTTAATATATTATAAAATCATTTGAAACAAAATGGCTATTTTTTTAAGAACCCATAACATGAAATATTTTATGTGTTGTGTGTGTGTGTGTGTGTGTGTGTGTGTGTGTGTGTGTGTGTTATTTTTTAAGGACACATGCTGAAGTGTCTGTCTAAACAAAAGTTTATTTATTCTAGTAGTTTTTATTATAATAATGAGTCAAACGATACCTTCATTCATGATGATAAATGTTAGTTGTAAGGTTACGTTCAAATTATTTCAATCTGATTGATTTATTGCTACAAATGAAGTATAATTTTATAATGTTTATGATCGATACGCATAGCTTCTTTTTTTTTTTTTTTTTTTATAATTCAAAAAAAAAAGTCAGGAATGTTTAGCACGATTTTCTGGAAATTTACAGAGGATTGAGAACAAGAGAGAAGAAGCGTGTTTCAGGAAAAAATATTTTTAAGGACGGAGAACAAACTCAAAGTGTAAAGTAAAAAAACACGTCAATTTTGCAACCTACGTTGTCAGTTAAACCAAAATTGAATTATTCAAAAAGTGACCATTCTAAAGAGATGACGTGTTTTTTCGAAGCTCCAAAAATGACCAGATTTTGAGTGTAACTGGGAAAAAAAGGGCAAGTATTGCTTGAGGGTTAAACAATATTTACCTTTCTACAATTACATTTAAAATCCGTTAATATAATAATATATATTAT